TTGTGTAAATTCCCTTTGCCATAATGGATGCAGTGGAATAACAATGTTTACAGGTACCAATCCCAATCCCTGCTCAATGTAGCATTTTTTGGTTTTATTTTCTTTATTAATAAAAGCAGGGGTAGGTTTCTTTAAACTGCACAAACATGCAAGGATTTTTTTAAAATGGAAACTTCTCTCATGTTATTCAACTAGAGCACTTCGGTTTACAAAACAGCAAGTCCATCTTTATGGAAGCCAGCACGAGGAACTGTGTGCAAATTATGAAGACTCTTGCTTGGATCCTGTTTCAAAATTCTAGACCAGGGCTACCTTACAGTGAATTGGTCATTTTATTGCCAGGAGATTTCTGTATAATTTCATTTATTAACTAAAAATTTGGTATTTGAAGATGTGGTTTTGATATAAGGTTTTGTCCACGGTTGTCAGGATTGTAATCTTAAAAAAATCATACTGGTCAGTGATAACTTAGTTGATCCAGAGGCAGTTGGCTTACAGAGGCATGGTCTGCAAAGCTAGGATGTTGCCACTCAATGGTTGTACTTTGGAACACCTCTGAAGTTCGTAGCACTGCTGTTCAAAGTGTTAATGTTTAGAGGAACTTCTAGAGTTTATGCATAATGCAGTAGAACCTTGAAGTATATTTAAGCTACTGTGTTTAGCTTGAACAGTTGGCAAGAAAAATGTGAGTTCCTATCTGAAATAGAATGGTACGTTACCACTTTTAAGTTTTAAAAAGTGACAGACGTTCAGATGCATCTCAAACTCAGTTTTATTTTTATTCCAAACATTGTGAATAAGAAGCCATTGTCATAAACTTTGGCCATTTTTGCTCTATTAGACATGCTTCTTTAAGTTATATAAGGTGAATCAAACTATATAATACAGTATTAGGATATAATAAGCTTTGCTTTTATAGTACAGTTAAAACAATGTTTTGCACCGTCTTTCTTAAACATTTTGATTTTTACTAGTTTTGTTGCTTTGCAAAAAACTTAAACGTTTGGCTGCATTGCTAATATTTTTAAGTGTAGGTCGCTTCAAGGTTGTGCTGATGAGTAGATAGGATGTAGTGGTCTTAGTGATCAAAAGGGAGGGTATTTATTACACAAACTGTGAATTGCAATAACATCCTTAGTTTTGGATGATGTGTATTTTTGTTTTTCTTTGCATTTTAATGAAGATTGCTTTGAAGTGTTTACGCAGTAGTGCATTTACTATAAAACTTAGTTTTTAGCACAGTGGACAAAAGTACTTAATGAGCTTAAAATTGGCCTCTAATTTATACATCTAAAGTCTAGTATTCCTATATGCACACAGTAAATAATGGGTAGCCTGGGCTCTGTGTTGCTCTCTGAAATTTTTATCCAAGTTGTCAGCTTCTTATTGCTGTGTTGTGCTAATCTTTGAACCTTATTTCTTTTGTTAAGCATCAATATACTTTCCATAATTTGGTAAGATACTGGCCATAATCTTCTATTATTATAACTTTAATTTTCTCTCTGGGTTGACAGTGGCTGGTCTGTATAAATAATTCACACAAAGATGACTGAATGCTGATGCCAGTTGCACTTAAGTGAACATGCCCATTCTCATTAATTAGTAGCTGATGCAGTAATATATTCAGTTTATCTATGCATTGCTGGGATCTTGATACAAGATGGAAACAGTGTTTCTTATCTAGTTTTGATTATCAGCAAGTTGAATGGACACTTTAGTTATTTAAATAAGTTTTTGACCAAAATCCAGAAAATGATATGAGAGAAAAATAAATTTCAGCTAGTTTAGTAGATTTTTAAATGCCAATCTGACTATAGCCTCTTAGAGAGTGCTAACTAGCTGGTAACGTTTACTTTTAATTCCTTGTTAAAATGAGGCAATAATTTGCAAGATTTTTGTATATATGTGTAAATTCTTCATATCTTTTTAGACCTAATTCAATATTTTCTGACTACTTCTGCCATGTATAATACCATTTTTGTGCATGCTTGATGTGACATTCATAAATTGTACCACTATGACTTTATCCATGTAAAATAGCTATTTATTGAATTTTCTTTTGAAAGCTGGATTTACTGGGTTTTTTTGTTGTTGTTGTTTCCGTTTAAACATCTTAACAGAATTTGTTACTGTTTATTAAAAGAATTGCGTTTGAAAGCATGAAAATATCTGATTTGCAATCATATGAAGAAATAACAATGCCTTTATTATAAGTGTTAAGCACAATTCTTATAACAAACTGTGATGAATTCTTTCTTGTATTTTCCTTTGCCACATTTTCATATGAACAAACCAAAAATTCATGGTGAGCAGTTGCAGTGTTGGCTAATACATCTTTATTGTACAGGGAATTTGATGAGGACGGTGGATTCATTTAGAAGTGTAACTGGTGCTGTGACTATAGCAATACTTTACTTTTGTTAGTTGTACTTCATCTTTTTCATGCTAGCTTTTTAAATGTTTAGTTTTCCTCTTGCCATGGTCAACTGCTGAATTTACTTGAAGGATGTAGAATACTGTTTAAAAAATACTAAAGTCTGTACAATTAGGTCAAAGAATTGTGCAATCGTTTCCTTTTTAATTTTTAAAATTGAGGGTCATAAATATTTGAGAACGTCAGATCTAATAGAGCATAGTGATACTATTTAATTTAACCAAAGTCTCTAGTAAATATTTCAACTTTGAATGTAAACTAGCAAATAAACCTGACCACCAAGGAGATTGTTTGCTCAGAGTTTCAAAGCACATTGTCTACAAATGAAAATTGAAATAATTTATAAAAATATTGACATTACTATGTTTTTTAAAAAGTTCCTAATTTTTTCACTAAAAGGAGGAAACTATTAGTTTTATTGTTAAATATGGTAGATAGTAATGTTCCTCTTAGACAGCCAGTGATTCCAATTGTCCCAGTTTGAAATAAGTACCCTGTGAGTATGAGATAAATTAGTGACAATCAGAACAAGTTTTAGTATCTGATGTTCAAGAGGAAGTTGCTATTGTTGCATTGATTTTAATATTTGTACATAAACACTGATTTTTTTGAGCATTATTTTGTATTTGTTGTACTTTAATACCTGGTGTACAGTTCCAGAAATAAAAATCTGGAAATCTTTTTTTTCTTGGTTTGTGTGACTATTTGCAAAAAAAATTTTAAGTGAATTTTAAGCTATACCAAATAGGTAGATATTGTGCCAGTTTTAAATTGGTTTTAGATGTGGTAAGTATTTGTACATAAATAATAAAGTTAGTAGATTTTTTTTCTTACATCCTCTATAACAGTTTTTGATCTATAATAAAATTCTAATAATCCCAAAGTGAGAATTCTATTTTAATTCAGGAAACATTGACTGAATTTTATGTTTCAAACACTACTTTAGGCAGCTGTGTCTTTTAGGAAGATGTAGGTAGTATCTGAAATTTGATCAGCTACTATGATTTAACAGATTAGTATTTATGACCAACTATTCTTATCTGTACCATTCATAGTTTAATCAACTAGTCATATCTTCCTTATGCCTTCTTTTCAAGCTAAAGATCTTACCCTAATTTCATGCATTTGTCCCGTTTCATTTGCTGTGACTACAGCTTTTCTCCAGTTCTGTTTGTAATGTGCAATTACCAGACTGCACATAATACCCTTCTTGCACAAGGCTGAGAAAAAAAGTGAAAGCAAAACCCTTGACATCTCTGCCTTGGTTACTTGTCTAGAACCACATTCTTCTCATGCAAGAGCTGTGATGGATACATGCACAGAAGGACCACAAGTATTCTGAATACAGCTAAGAGCACAGTCAAGTGCCATATAAGTGCTGCATAATACTTCATGCTTTAGGGAAGGGAGAAGAAGCCTTGTAAAAAGTAGAGTGATCTCTAGTGACTTCCAGGAATATCGGTCACAATGACTTCCTAATTGGCTTCCCTCTTTCCACTCCTGGAACTTCCTAATTATACATTCCCTACAATGTAAAGGCAAGCCTTCTGATCATAAGTGCTATAGAGAAAAATAGGGAGGTAGAATTGGGAGATTCAGGTGGGAGTAGGGAACTGTAAAATATAGTGGTTAGGCAAGTCTTCTCAGAAAAAGTGACAGGGAGAGAAGAGCTGCAGCTATCTAAGGGAAGGTCTCTGCAGACAGATCCTGAGGCAGGATCACAGTGTAGCTAGGAAGCAGATGTGGAGTGAGCAAGATAGTAGGAGATCTGAAGTAAGCAAGATAATGTATATGAAGGACTTCAGCATTTTACTCCATGGTGAGGAGGGGTTTAAGTAGAGGTGTGTCATGATGTAACTTTGACTTAAAATAATTACTCTTGGTGAAACAGTCTATATGGGACAGTTATGGAAACAGGGAAGCCAACTGAAATTACAATAAGCTAGGTGAGTAAAACTGGTGGCATAGCAGCAAAAATGGTCAGATTCCAAGAGGATTTGAGGGGCGAAGTAAGTAACACCCTCCTTCCTAGCCAAAGATTGGAGCATGGTTGGAGCAGGAGTCAGGTGGATGAAGGTCAAGGTAACGATTACTGATAAAACTCTGGGACAAGTGGTTTCAGATCTGTGGCTGGGCTGGCCACTCTGAACCAGATTCATTTTGTCAACAGCTGGGCTGGCTACTCCTTGCATTGTGCTGGCAAGCATAGTCCACACAGAAATGAAAGGATATGGGCCATGCTGCTTAATTCTCTGAAGATACTTCCAGAAAATCACTCTTCTCCAATGGGTGGAGAGAGGCTAGGAGCATTCATTATAGAAGCTCTCCACATGGAAGCAAGAGACGGGAATAGGTGTTCCCACCACCAACACTATCATTTAATTGTATTCCCATGTTTGAATGGTCTCTTGCACTCCTTTTTAAGCACCCCCCCCCCTTTTTAAAGCACCACTCTTTGGTGTAGGAATGTTGAACAAATAGAGAAAATAGAATAGTGACTACATTTTCCCCTTACTCAGCTGGAACAATCTTTAAATTTTACAGATACACATCAATTTACTCATGACAACATAATAGGTAAAAATTTTATTCTGTAGAAAAAAGTTTTTATAAAAGTTTGTACATATCAACAGAACTGTAAGAAAGAACTGCTGATGCTTGGCTAAAATTTTATAAACCAACACAGAGGTATACAAAAATAAACAAAAGAAAAATTGAGTTTGTTAAAGTAGTTTTAATTTAATAAGCTATTGTGTATTTATGTGAAAGCCAATTAAAATTGGAATTACATTACAAATTTGAAATTGTAATGAAGCAAATATCTTTTACCTTGAAATTGGAACATAAATATAGTATCAATAAACACATAAAAATTCCAATTCCAATTAGGTCTCAAAATATTTGCTCTACAGGTAGAATTCAGAAAGAGGTGGTTAACAAAAAAACCTTTAGAATTCACTCAATAGCTGAGTAGAAAACCTAATTTCTAATTTACCAACTTAGCTGACAATTGTGAAGTAGTTTGAAAAAAGCTCTTCTCCTTGCTTGATGTCCCTAAGTGCAACAAGAACAACACATCGAAGTGGGCTAAAAATATAAAGAGAAAAATACACATTTTAATATAACCAATATGGATTTTATAGACAATGTTCTAAGATTCCTTATGTCTTAATTTATATATTCAATTCCATGAAAAATAGATCCTCTTCCTAATGCAAGTATTTTGAAGTAGGGTGTGTCCATTCTATTTTTTAAAAACCACAAATCATTAAGTTTATACAACCAAAAACCTCTTTGAAAACATTTCTATGGCCCCTAAAACAAGGATTACAAAAAGGATTTTAATCCTTTTAAAAGGATTACAGTTTAACATTCTTTTGTTATTTGTATCTCTTAAAAACATTACTTCAAATAAATTGGAATTTTGTAAAATACTTTTTTTCTGGACATGAGACACTGTCATGTACACTTTCAAAGGTCTAATGATATCATGTCCCAGAGTATATGGTTGAGAAAACCTAATTGTTAGACATACACAGACACAGACACAAAAGCGTAAGTTTTAAGTATAGTAAACAGTCTAGGTTTTAAATATTATTCATATTAAAAGGGCAATTTAATAGGTCCCATATAAAATAAAGTTTTGTAGCAACTCAGTAAATGATATATGGAGCGTGCGTCCTCTCAGTGGGGCATGGTGGCACTGCCTAATCCTAGCATTCAGGAGACTGAGGCAGGTGGATTGTGAATTCAAGGCTAGCTTGGGCTACAAAGCAAGACCATGTCTCAAACATACAAAACAAAAAACTATTTGAAAATTTTGTGGGAAAGAAAATAACAGAGTTACTTGAAAAAGCTTTAAGGTTGATACCAGTAAAATATTGCATAAAATAAAAATGCAGTAATAAGTAGAATGAGCTTAGTAAAAATTTTTACTTTCAAGTAAGCCTCGACTGGACTGGGGACATGGCTTAAGTGGTAGAGTGCTCGCCAAGCAAGCATGAGAGAGAGAGAGAGAGAGAGAGAGAGAGAGAGAGAGAGAGAGAGAGAGAGAGAGAGAGTGTGTGTGTGTGTGTGTGTGTGTGTGTGTGTTTAACAGTGCTGGGGATTGAGCCCAGGGCCTCACACATGTCATGCATATGCTCTATCACTGAGCTACAGTCCCTACCCTTACATTTTCACTAAAATATTTTTTTAACCAGGTGCCAGTGGCTCACACTTGTAATCCCAGCTATGCATAAGGCTAAAATGGGAAAGACCATGGATCCAGGCGAGCCCAGGTAGAAAGGTTCATGAGATCCCCTCTCAACAGCAAAAAAGTTGGGCATGGTGAATCACACCAGTCATACTAGCTACTGTGGGAAGAAAAAAATAGAAGGATCATGGTCCAGTCCAGTCTGGGCAAACATTGAGACCCTGCCTCCAAATTAACCAGAGCAGAAAGGGTTGGAGGTGTGGCTCAAGCAGTAGAGGACCTGCCTAGGAAATACAAAGTCTCAGGTTCAAACCCCGTAACACCAAAAACAAAAAAAATTTACTCCCATTTCTATATAGCTTTTTCTTAGAAATTATATTTTAATTACTCTTAGAATTAAATTTTAAGTATATCATAAAAAAGAAAGGAGTTGCTCTTTCAGAAAACTGACCTTTGTTTTTCACAGCTGTAGGAAATATTTGGAATATATTGCTTCAGTTCTATAGGGAAAACTGTAGGCACATCAAATTCCTGATAACAGACATTGGCTGCTCTGTCTAGGAACAGATACATAAGTGTTAGGAAAACAGCCATGAAACAAGGTCAGAGAAATAATACTGAATTATGATACTTGAAGTATGGTTTTCTAAATTACTGAAACATGCTCAAGATATTAATTACTAATGTTACAGGCACATACATTAGATTATAAATGATAAATAGTAAGATAAAGTTCAAAAAGCAGTAAAAGGTATGTGTTGAGAGTATATATATAAACCCATATAATAGACATACACATTTTAAATATTAGAAATTAGGAGCTCAGAGCAGTTATTGATTAAATAAAGGAGTCAGGCTTCGAGTTTGTCTCCCTAACACCAAAGTCTACATGCTAACTGTAGGTAGATGATCAAACTTTCACCTACGGCAAAATCAAGTCTTAAAAAAGGCAAATGACTCACAAACTTAGCAACAAAAAGGGGATGCCAGTCTAGTGATTAATGTATAAGGTTATATCAAGACACCAATAGAATAATCATCATCTGTTTAAAAATGCTTAAAAAGTGATCAACAGTTATTATCAATTGCTTATATTCACTGAAAAACCAGAATAGAAAGGTTTCCAAATAATATATATCATTATTTTCCCAAATTCTCTCTGTGATATCTTTCCTCAGAAAGTCACAGTTGCTTAAGGACTGTGCGTAGCTAAGACATTACTCAACTGCCTTTCACACTCAGTCATATGACAAAGGAGAACTAGCCATTGCTGCACCTCATTTCAAAGCTCCATGATGGCAACTCACTGTTTGAACAATTGTTGACATACTGTCCTACAGCCAGTGGATTATGAATTTCTGATGTTAGCCATGTACTATCACTCATGCTTAAAGGGCCAAGTCTATCTCTCCCATTGCAAGATCTGAAACAAGTGAAAGCATTAGCTGTTCTATATGTTCAAATAGAATTAAAAATACAAAATTAACCCCACAGCTAAACAAGTCTGACTTCTGTTTAAATTTTTTTTGTCTAAGAATCAGGCAACTGAACTGCTACACAGCAGCCATCTAATAGATTTTTATTTAAAGTACAAATGCTATAGATTATAATCATTATGACAAGTGTGGTTCTATATCCTATAATTAAATTCGAGTGGGTATCAATTACCTGTATACAACTTTTGATATTCCTTTGTCATTTCCATCTATGAGTACCCCATCCAGGCATCTAAAAATAAATGGATTTCCAATGGACTGGAAAAAGATTGGCTCATACTTCTGATATACTGTACCTATTACACAACAAGACAAAGACATATTATAACAACATGTAAAATCCTAAAATCCTGATAAGGACTTTTCTCTGGAACATAAACATTAAACAGAAGAATGTGTTTTAACTCCTCCATCTTTTGAAAACATTTTCTTACTAGTGTATATTAATTGTATAAATCAATAAGTTTCATTATGATACTTTCATACATGTTCTTTCATCTTTTTAAATATTTCACCTCCAATGTAAAGCATCACATTCTCTTTGATTACATTCCCCCTTTAAAGAGTTTGTGCCCAATAGCAGATAGAGCACAGAACCAACCACCTGTTCACATAGCAGAACAAAATATGATGCTCTTGCTTAATGATAATATGAACATTGTATTTTAGGCCATTTTATAAAGTCTTATATGTACATACATACATATATATAAAAGCATAAACATACAAAAAGTACATATATAAATAAACTAACATGTTAGTTTAACAAATAACATATTCTATTAAGTGTTCTATTCAACAAATTTGCAAAGAAGTTACTTTACTTTCTCCCATCCAAGTACTAACCAGGCATGACCCTGCTTAGTTTCTGAGATCAGATGAGATCCAGTACGTTCAGGGTGTATGGCTTTCAAAGTATAGGAATAGGACGGTCTTTATACAGTGACTTATAAGTTTAAATTCCATCTTTTATGTTTTAACTCATACCATTTTTATCTTTGGTTATCAACTAAGCCAAACTACTTTAGTCTAATAGTTTCTAAGTAACTTGTCAAAATGGGCTATACTGTATTCTAAATTTAAGCAGTAACTCAAAAGATTTCCTAAAAGGAAAATGAATTTATCCCAAGTACTCAAGGATCCTTTCTAACACACAACATAACTTGTAAAGTTAATTACCAAATCAGAATTTTAAACATCTATGGAAATCTGGGTTTTCAGTTCAACTTTACTCTAGGATTACAGGCCTAGGCATTCTGTTACATTTTTATTTATTGGCATGTAAGAAACTCTTGGCAGTACTAATTGAGCTGTTACCAGGATACATGGATACTACCGCGCCTTTTGGTACCAATCCTTTAGTAACGAAGACACCTCTTCCCGCAGAAATCAATGAACTAGTTGCTCGGGCAACACTGAAACCCAATGTTTTATAAAGAATTTCTTCTGGTTTAAAGATATTTCGCTGTTGATGTCTGTTTTCGAGCAGATTCACTCTTTGATGCTGAACTGCTAGTAGGTCTTGATATTTTGACTTAACAGTTTCTGGAAGTACAGTCAAGATATCTGATTGTTTATTGAAATCATTTAAAAACAGAGCCTGGAAAACTTTCAGTAACGTTCCTAGGACATCTTCATCTGAGATAACTTTGTCTTTGGATTCCTCTGGAACATATCGAAGGGTCCTGAAAATGGGAAAAGTTTCCATTCACTACCCTTCGTAGGATAAAAGCCAGACTGTCCTGACTGTTCTCTGGTTACTCGCCATAATGGACTGTAACATTATTCTCATGTGTTTGAAGGGTATAAAACTAGTAAGTTTGGGAAGGGATTTTGGGGGTTAGCTCTAACTCCCAGCTTCTCTCACACAAGTGGCCAATAACGTAGGAAAGGCCCGTTCTGTACCAGATGCCCTCGGGTACTTAAAAACTTCTCTCACTTTTGCCAAGAAACTGAGGCTTGGAAAATGTCAGGGAACCTGCCCAAGGTTCTAAAGCTCTAAGTGGGAAGAGAGCAACAGACATGTAGCTCGTCTCTCTCCCTCCGACACCTAGCAGCCACTTTCAGGCAAGTAGTTTCAAAGGCAAACTTATCTCCTTTGCCATATTCCCTGCCAGGAGCACTAACTTCTTTAAATGAAATCACTTTTATTGTGCCATTGATTGCATTATTTTTTGTACTAACTGCATTTTTACTTCTGAACAAAAAGGAAGCGATGCTCGCCCCTTATTTCTACAGCACTGATGCACCCAAGGTCACGTTCGTGTATCAGGAAACATTGGCAGAAGTCTCTGGTTTCCCAGTCTTTCAGAAAGTGGCCTTCAGCAAAAGTCTGCCTCCTTCCTTGGTGGGCAGCGCTGACTTCTTGTAGCTCACTAGCTCGCTCATAGCATGCCGGCCGCGACAATGACCCCACGGCGACCCATTCAGCCAGCGGGACGGATCCCGAGCACAGACCCGGCACTCCCCCACGCTTTCCGTTTTCTGCACGTTTCTACGCGTTGGCTACTCCAGGCGGTTATCCTCACAGCCGCGCTGGGTGCTTTCACCACTGATTACTTCTACAGACTGTGAAAACAGACCTAAAGTCACGCGCTAAGTCTTCTGTTTAAGTTTCTATTTCTTGCCCAGATGCAGCTGCCCAGCGAGTACGGACCGCTGAAGGCTGAAAGCGAGCCACGCCACGGCCACCTGGGCCTTGCAGACCGCACAGCGCGGCGCACGCTGGGAAACTGGCCACAGACCCCGCCCACCTAGAGCGAGCGCCCGCTTCGGGGTCCTAGCCCGCCGCCGAATCTACCAGCCTCCGCCGAGCTCATCTCAGGCTCCGCCCTCCTCAAGCCCCACCCTCCAAAGACCCCACCCCCTTAGACCCCGCCCTCCTCGAGCTCCTACGCAGTCTCAGGCTCCGCCTCCTCAACCGCCCGCCTTCTGCCCCTCAGGTCGCTGCCGGCTCCTCCCGGCTCAGGCTCCACCTGCTTCTGGCCGTGCGTCCGTGGCGGCGTCGCAGGCAGAAGGCAGACGCCTGTGTGGCCGCCCCGCCCTCTCACCTCGGGTTGTGGTTGAGGTTCAGCGCGATCCAGGGAACGAAGCGGTACTTGTAACGGCGCCATCGCTGCCGCAGACCCCGTAGCAGGCGGCCGGGCATGGCTGCCCCGCGGCGCGGTGACGAGGACGGCGCGGGAGAGGCGGGTCGCGGTCTCGGGCCCGCCCGGCTTGGGGAGGAGCGGGGGCTGCTCTGTTCCGCCCTCCTGGGTCTCCGCCCCGCGTGCTCCGGGTTTATTGATGGACTCGCTGAGTCCGGGGCGTGTAGAGCAGAGCTGGAGGCCCAGTCCCCCGGCCTCCGTCCAGTCGCTGAGTATTTTCGCGCACACACATGCCCGCTGGTCCTGTCCCGGGGACACCATGCCTGGAGGAGCGCGTCCCGGCAGGGGACCACCTCGACGCTTGCAGCAGGTCTAGCACCGTGTGACCTGCGTTCTGCACCCGCCTCCGGCCTCTCTCGGCGCCAGTCTTTCCCAACGAGTTTCACCCCTCGCCCGCCAGACGTCAGGTCCTCACCCGGAACGAACCCAGCTCCAAAAAGCTCTGGGGGAAGGTGCAATGTCATAATACCCTGTTTCGCTCGAGTTTTTCTCTTCATTCTCCCAAGCAAGCAGCCAAAGGCAAAATGGTTTTAAAGGCAGCTTTATTTATTTTATTTAGTTGGCATTCGATAAACTGCACATACTGAAAGTGAAGAGTTTGGTAAGGTTTTCACATACACGTGCATCTGTGAAACTTCACCGTGAGCAAGATAGGGAATCTATCCTCTCCCAAAACGTCCCTTATAACTCCTTTATCCACCCTCTACTCATCCCCGAACAACCATTGATCTTTCTGTCACCAGATTAATTTTGATCATGGTGTTTTATCTTCTTAATATGTTTTTGGATTCATTTGCTAGAATTTTGTTCAGAAGTTTTGCATCTATGTTCATGAGATTTTCTTGTAAAATCTGTTTTCTAGTTTTGATTCCATAGGTGAAATTTGAAAGGATCTTTATAACTTGCCTTCTCAAAACATGACAACACACATACAGGAGACAGGATTGGACAAGGCTCAATTCCAATGAGGGCAAACTACAAGAATCCCTTAACCAAATCAATACATGTTCATTAAGAAATAAATGCGTTGGTGCCACTTCCTCAGGCTGGAAAGTTGGCTTCCCTATTCTTTGCTGGAAGTGTGGCTGAATCCCAACCTCAAGTCCAAATTGAACAACTCAGATGTAGTGAAAATCCAGGCAGATGTCAGTGGCCTCAGAACTACTTTGTTTTATTCCAAAAGAAAGAAAGGGAATGAGAGGATATCTGCCAGTGTAATGTCATGGAGGATGTTGGCAAATTCTAGAGGCTGGGTTTATAGGAGACAGCCACCTAGCCAGGCCTCTGAATTCAATTTTTTTTAAAAGAAAAAAGGCTATTCAAAACTGTTCATCTGTGTCACGTTTGGTAATTATATTTTTAATAGAATTTGTTCATTTTGTCTAGGTTGTTGAATTTGTTGACATAAAGTTGTTCATAAGTTATCTTTCTATACTATACTTTTAATGTTTATGTTATTTATAGCAATACTTTTGTTCCTGATTTTGGTAACTTATGTGTGTCATGGGTGTTTGTCAATCTTCTCAAAGAACCAACTTTTGACTTTATTAATCTTCTGTTTGTTTTGTTGATTTCTGCCTTTCTGTTCTTATCCTTATTAGTATCTGTTTTCTTGTTTGGTACTGGGTATTGAAACTAGAGCCTCACACTTGCCAGGCAAGCACTCAACAACTGCTTGTTTTTATTTTCTACCTGCTATGGGTTTATTTTGCTCTTCCTCCCCCCTTTTTTTTATACTGGGGTTTGAACTCAGGGCTTTGTTCTTGCTAGGAAGGTGCTTTATCAGACCTCCTTTTTGGTTTCTTACAGTATAATATTAGGTCACTGATTTTAGTGCTTTCATTTTTTTTTAAATGTAAGCATCAAAAGTTATGAATTTCCTTCCCAGGAAATTTGTTTTAGGTTATATTTCATTGTCATTTAGTGTGAAAAATATTATAAAACTTCCTGTGTGATTTCTGTTTTGATTCATGGACTATTTAGAAGTTTATTTTCTCTTATTTGGGGTGGTGATGGTTCTGGGGTTTGACTTAAGTCAAACTTGAACTCTAGGACTTGTGCCATACTCCCAGCCCTTAGAAGTTTATTTCTCATTTCCAAATATTTGGCGTTTCTAGATATCTTACTGCAATAAGTTTTAAATTCCATTCAATTACAGTCAAAACATGCATGATTTCAATTCTTTTAAATTTATTGACTTGTTTTATGTTCCAGCTTGTGCTCTGTTTTAGTGAACACATCGTGTATAGTTGAAAATTATGTGTGTTGTGTAGTTGTTTGGTTTAATGACTATTAACTAGGCCAATATTAATAGGACATGGTGGTTGATAGTATCCTTTAAGTCATCTGTGTTTTTAATAATTTGCATAAAAATTTAAATATAGGTGAATGAGAAACAACAGGTTGACAATTTTATAATATAACACATAGAGAAGGTAAAAGATTAGCATTGATAGGCGTGGAGAAGTGCTGCTACCCAAAATTACTCTCTCCTGACTCTTCCTTATATTGTAGTTGTTTCCAGTTTCCCCAAAGCCATACCTAACTGAAGAAAAGAATGTGCATGCTGTATTTTTCCATTTGAATCTTGTTTATGCTATAAATTACAAAAATACCATGTAAAGAAAGATAATCTTTAACATGTGTGTCCTTAATATCCACAAACAGGGCATGCTTCGCTGGACAAATTTTAACTTCCAGAGTTCAAAATGAGATGTAACTGAATCTTTCAGTAACTCAGTATCACCTATTATGTCTCAGGCTCTCCTGTAGGAGACAGACACTAAGTAAACACAACATGCCAAAAAGTGAATGATGCAAAAATGAGAAGATATTGAGAAGAGAGTAGGCAGTATGTCTTTTGTATTCCTCCAGATCCACTGTCCACACCCTGGGGGACTGATGGGTTTGCACTTCAACAGGTTCCCTTGCCCTCCTGTTTCCATAGAGGATCACTATGTACTGACTGTCCTATTTAGATAGCCTTCTAGCTCTTTTTGGGTTTCTTTCAGGCCTAGGGATGGTAGCCAAACTCCATGATTACTATATGGTTCTGTTCCTTTTTGTGGTTTCCCTTCACTCTCCTTGTGTGTAAATTCAATTCTTTTCAAATTGTCCTAAGTTGTGTGTGCCCTCAGTTTCCTAATGGGACCCTCCTGTCTTTATATGGGTCTCCTGAAGTGAGAATAAGGATGACTGCTTATCCATGTGACTTAAACTGACAAGAAATCACCAAACTTGGAACTATCTGTGGGGTCTGAATAGGAAATGCAGAACTCTGAGGTGGGGAGGAGTTGGACAAATTTGAAACATGGAAAAGAAGGCCAGTGTGGCCTGTACAAGTATAGGAAAGGGTAAAGTCGGAAAAAAGAGGAGGCTGAATCATTTAGCTCCTTGTAAGGAGTTGGGATTCTTTAGTGTAAACAGGAAACATTAGAAGGTTTATACATAGGGGATAAGGTCTGTTTCATGGTTGAAAAAGATTACATTGAGTATTAAAGAATAGGTGTGCAATCACCACACTGGGAAGGCCACTTAGTAGACTAATACAGGAGTTCAGGCACGAAATGATGGTAGTGAGTGAAGTTTTGAAATACCTATGAGAAATGTCAAAGAACTATTTGAATATTCACATCTGGAGCTCAAAATCCATAGTTGGAGATAAAATTCAAGTCCTCCACCAGAGGGTTGGAGGAGATCACATTAAAAAGAAAAAAAAAGTGGTGAAGACACAAATTTGAGCAGTGGCCATGGGAGTTTCCCAAAATGCAGACCTTTGATGACTTGCTCAAAAACAGTTTTGGTGATAAGTTTGGATGCATCTGAGTGTGTTGAGGAGAAAAATGTGAGGAGCAGAAAGAAAGTGTGCACATTTCTGCCAAAAAGTTTTACTGAAAGGGAAGTGAAGAGGAATTTGGTAAAAGATCCTATATAGTAATTTATGTCCTAATGGGAGTGACCAGCACAAAGAACAACATTCAGAATTGATGTGTGGGGGCCTGGGGTCAGGGGAAGTAGGAAGCAGGACTGTGATTTCCTAATCTCTGTTGGAATAGAGATGATATTTAGAGATGCAGGCTATTTAAATAATTCAGCTCCATGTCATCTAATGTGGATGATAGAACTGGCAAATGTTTGTTCACTGGCAGTGGTATTCCTTTGTACAGCTTCAAAACATTATAGTCCAGTTGGTAAAACAGATAATTCAGAAAATTAAATATTGATTACCATGGAATTTTAGTGTGAGCTAGTGGACCTAAGGGAATGCCTCAAAGAGAACTAAATAGAAGTGAAATGGAAGGGGAAGGTATAGTAGAAGCCAGCATTTCTCAAAATGTGGCCTGGGGACATTGGAGATCCCAAGAATCTTTTCTGGAGTTTGTGAGATCAAAATATTTTCATAATAGTACTAAGGTCTTACTTGTCTTTACCCTCATTCTTTCACAGAGTATAGTGTTTTTCAGACATTGCATGATGTGTGATAAGACAACAAAATTAAACACAGAAGCAGATACAAGAATTTAGATGTTATTTATTAACACAGAAATTAGATTTGAAAATATTAAAAAAAACACTCAATATTTTGGGGGGAGGAATATAGTTATTGTTCATAAAGATACAGTATCCACTTAACATATATTAGGTTTTTCGTTTATTTTTAATGAATTAATAAGTAAATATTTTAAATTTTATCAATTTTAATATTGATACAGTAAATATCAATAGATAAAAGCCATATTTTAAAAGTTCCTTAGGAACTCCTGATAATTTTTAGAACCAGGTCTTTGTGTGTGTGTGTGTGTGTGTGCGCACGCGCACGCGTGTGCTAAGGATTGAACCCAGGGCCTTGCACATGCTAAATATGTAGTGTACCACTTAGCTACACATCCAGCGTGATAATTTTTAAAAGTGTAGTAGAGTATGAAGACAAAAGTTTTTGAGAATTGTGTTAGATCCACATATTGTGATTAAAAATATTGAGAAAAGTATGTGACAAGGCATTTCATTGATGTTGAAGTTAATACCAATTCTATGAATTAGACACAAAGTACTTTCAAGTTATTTTGTGTGAAAGATCTAAAATACTGCATAAAGGAGAAAAATGGTCTGTGCTAGTTTTTGTGTTT